AAATTGGTGGTCAGTAAGAAGAATGATCCTTATATTGGTGGCCAGTAAGAAGAATGATCCTTATATTGGTGGTCAGTAAGAAGAATGATCCTTATATTGGTGGTCAGTAAGAAGAATGATCCTTATATTGGTGGTCAGTAAGAAGAATGATCCTTATATTGGTGGTCAGTAAGAAGAATGATTATCATATTGGTGGTCAGTAAGAAGAATGATCCTTATATTGGTGGTCAGTAAGAAGAATGATCCTTATATTGGTGGTCAGTAAGAAGAATGATTCTCATATTGGTGGTCAGTAAGAAGAATGATCCTTATATTGGGGGTCAGTAAGAATAATGTTCCTTACATTGGTGGTCAGTGGGAAGAATACTCATTACATTGATGGTCAGTAAGAAGAATGTTCCTTACATTTGTGGTCAGTGGGAAGAATGCTCGTTACATTGGTGGTCAGTGGGAAGAATGCTCCTTATATTGGTGGTCATTGGTAAGAATGCTCCTTACATTGGTGGTCATTGGTAAGAATGCTCCTTATATTGGTGGTCATTGGTAAGAATGCTCCTTACATTTGTGGTCAGTAGGAAGAATGTTCTTTATATTGGTGGTCAGTAAGAAGAATGTTCTTTATATTGGTGATCAGTAAGAAGAATGCTCCTTATATTGATGGTCAGTAAGAAGAATGCTCCATACATTTGTGGTCGGTGGGAAGAATGCTTGTTACATTTGTGGTCATTAGAAGGAATGCTCCTTACATTGGTGGTCAGTAAGAAGAATGCTCCTTATATTGGTGGTCAGTAAGAAGAATGCTCCTTACATTGGTGATCAGTAAGAAGAATGCTCCTTATATTGGTGGTCAGTAAGAAGAATACTCCTTACATTGGTGGTCAGTGGGAAGAATTCTCCTTACATTTGTGGCCAATGGGAAGAATGTTCTTTACATTGGTGGCCAGTGGGAAGAATGCTCCTTACATTTGTGGTCAGTTGAAAGAATATCTCTTAAAGTGGTTGTAAACCTCTGACATGAAATATGAACAAAACATATCCCTTTATAGTGTGTACTTGTCTCAATTAAGAGCAATAAGTGTCATTTCTGTCTGCTGGTTAGTTTTTCTGTTATCGGCCTGAGTCACTTCTGACAAGTTTTCCTGACACCAAGAGAGAAGAAATGGTGACAGTGGGGTGACCTCCAGCAGATTGACAGCCTCGGGGGGGGGGGGGGGGGTCTCTTCCCTCCAGTCAGCTCTCAGAACTCTCCTCACTGAGCTTTTCAGAGTGTAACCCCCTTTTATTTGAACTCTCAGATGAGCTTTGAAATTCAGCACTTTCAAAAGTGTAGAGAAGAGAGGACTGCAGATAGACAGGTACAACTAATGTAGGAGGATTTGTTTCATCTCTGTGTATCATCTGAGACTTCAGGATATATGTGACCAAGAACCAGTGGGCGGGGCGAAACACATCAGAGAGCGTGGCCAGAATGGCGGCTGAGGCCATTCCTCAACATTGGACTCCTGAGGTCGGTTGAGCAGCATCCATCCCTTTACCTTTATTGGATCTGTTAGGATTCTAACAGTTTCCTATCATATAGAACAATGGGTTGCAAATTTGCAACATAAAGTCAAACATGTTACGATATAGGAGGGAGCACTTTCCTGCATATTCATGTATAAGTTGCTCTCTCACATATGTAGTAACGTTTTTCTAAAAAATATGGAGTTAAAAAAAACAGAGGGTGTTATCATCTCTAGAACGGTGTGATACCCTGTGCATTCTTTAGTTAAGGGGATGGTATACTTGAAATGACATTTGATAGGATAAAGTGCAGAGCATGGGGATTGTGCCCTCTGCTAATGGCCCGTGCCCCTGGTATACTTACTGTGTATCCAGTACATCGTGATTTAATTCCTATAAGTGATCAGGATGATATCCTTCTGATAGGAGGAAAAGAGAACATCCCAGCTCACAGCTGGAGCAGCTGATGGGCTTTCTAAGAGTCTTTCAAGAATTATAGAACCTTGGTCTCCATGACAACACTTTTGTGGTGTCACTAATTACCACCGAGCTCCTGTTCACCTGTGATCACATTTACGAATATGTTTTGTTATGAGCATAAAAAGAACTTACAAGCAGTATAAAATGTGTGCTTCAGAGTATACAGCTGAGGTCATTATGGACTACTCTTATCTATGAAATGGTAAATGCAGCCTACGCCATGGTTTATTCAACAGGAAAAAACTACCAATATGTTATGAATGCAGGCAAAAAACAGTCTTGTTTGTAGTAATAGAAGGGATCATTTGCAGTTATTTGCTGCAAGAAAACGCATATTGGGTTTTGGGGCATATATTTTAATTGACGCCTCTACGCTAAACGTGGTGTGCCGTGTAAAACACAATGGGTTATGTCCAGGGGCGGACTGACCATTGGGAAACTCGGGCACTGCCCGATGGCCTGGAGTCAGTAGGGGGCCCCATGAGATGCCCCTGGTACCTTTTTCATAGGCTTTTTTGAGTTTGGGCAAGGACACAGGGGCCCCATGATCCCCTATTGCCTGGGGGCCCCATGAGTTGTCAGTCCGCCCCTGGTTATGTCCGATTTTTCTTGGGTTGTTCAAATTATTTGGGTGGCCTTACCCAATGCTGGTTAACACATTGCTCATAGGGGGGGATTTACTAAAACTGGAGCAGTCAGAATTAGGTGCAACTGTGCATGGTAGCCAATCAGCTTCTAACTTTAGCTTGTTCAATGAAGCTCTGGCAATAAAACGTGGAAGCTGATTGGTTACTATGTACAGCTGCACCAGAATCTGTGTGCCCCATTTTTATTAAATCTCCCCCATTGTGCGTGTGTTAACAAAGCACTATAGGGTAAATGGCCCAAAGAGAATACACTTGTGTGAACAAGAAAAAAAAAAATCTCTCTTCAATGCCGACTTACACTCAGGTACAAAATCTTACACCTATACCCAGTGAAGGGACTGGCCTCAGGTGATACACAGAGATGAACATTGGGTGGGAGGCCTTGTCATTTAAAACACGGTAGCACCATCCCCAAAAGTATTGCAAGTCACAACAATGAATTCCACAATGCCCTCCCCAGTCAAAAAGGGTGAGGGGGGAAATCATGGAAAAATTAGGACTTTAATAATCTGAAACAACAATATATATTATAAAAATCCCTTTTTATGATACAGATTAAAAGAAAATTATAAATTGTATACAGACATTCAATGTCAGCTACAGTATGTTCTGAAGGTGCATTTACTTTCAATCAAGAAAAGTACGAAGAGCTGATGGATTGACACGTTTTTCTCAGATCCAGCATCTTCAGGATCCACTTCGTTTTTTATATTTAGTAATATTGTAGCTGATAATACAGTCAGAAATGAATATTAATCACTTTGTTTTGTATACACAGAGATGAAACAAATGTTTTTATATTTGTAAAACAAATGTACCTGGTTATTTGCAGCCATTTATTCTGTACATCCTTGTAAAACAGACATGAGAAGGATTTTCACAGGCTCACAAATCAGGGGGCGGAGAGCTGCAGTTACACACTGTACAAGAGCTCTGAGAGCTTATTGGAGGGAACGGACACACCCCCCTTCACACAGCACACAGAAACAGAGCTGAGGCTGTCAATCAGCTGGAGATCCCTCCCCTGTCACCGTTTTTCCCTTGCTGTCAGGAAAACTTGTCAGAAGTGACTAATGCTGATATCAGAGGAACTAGGCAGCAGACAGAAATGACACTTAATGCATTGGATAGAGGCACGTAAACACTACAGAAATTTGTTCTTTGTTCAGATTTTATACCTAGGGTTCACATCCACTTTAAACAGATGAGTCTATTTTTTTTGTTTAACCAGGGTGTTGAAAAAAAACATACTGACTTGATTCCCCCATCCACACACTCGGTGTGAATAGGGGAATCCTCTCACTGAAATTTTTATTCTAACAGCGGTGAGACTTCCTTTCCATCAGAAAACACTGCATACCATTAGTGAACTCGGTGTAGAGTTATTCACCTTGAATCCATCACAGAGGACTAGGGGGCACTCTTTACATCTGGAGGAAAAGAAATTTAATCTCCAAACACGGAAAGGTTTCTTCACAGTGAGAGCTGTGAAAATGTGGAATAGACTCCCTCAAAAGTTGGTTCTGGCCAGCTCAATGGATTGCTTTAAAAAAAAGTCCTGGATTCTTTCCTAGATATATTTCCTAGAATATAACTGGATACTAACATTTATAGGTAAAATTGATCCAGGGAATATCTGATTGCCTCTCGGGGGATCCGGAAGGAATTTTTTTCTCTGCAGGAGCAAATTGGATCATGCTTTGCTGGGGGGGGGTGGGGTGCCTTCCTCTGGATCAACTGTGGGTGTAGGATTATAACTTTTTTTTTTTTTTTAATGGTTGAACTGGATGGACTTTTGTTTTTTTTTTCAGCCAGACTAACTATGTAACTATGTAATTGCTGTGATATCCTGCAGAGCTGATCAGGCAGGGAAAATCAGGGTGGTTGTACAGAAAATTGACTTCTGTACAACCGCAGTGCCCATACATGGATCAAAATTCAAAATTCAGCTGGCCACTGCTGAACTGGCTGAATTTCAATCTTTGTATGGGTGGCTTTAGAGTGCCTGCTTGCTGCCCTCTGGAAAATGCAAATCCTTGGATTTTGGTTGCATGGGCTCGGTGCTTCCCCCAACCAACAAAGCTTTGCACAGTGCCCTCACACAAGGCAAAATATGAACATTTGTCCACTACTGACCATTGGAATTATAAAATATAAATAAAAAATATTATCTGATATAAAATGATCAGACCAAATAAACTCACTTCTAGATTTTATTATCAATCCTCAGCCTACCAGTACCTTATAACAGAGGGCTTGAACAAGGACCTTCACGGTGGGATGCAAGGTATTATTTAATAAAAGCTGCAGATTTCACAATATGGAAAATTACTTTTGAAATTACCACATGAAAGCTAATATAAAATTGTATACTTTAACCCAGGTCTTGAAATTTCCACTCGCCTGCTCGCCATTGGCGAGTGGAAATTATGGTGGGGCAAGCGTGTCCCCCAGGGCCATCTTGCTGAGCAGTCTCGGAGCTCAGGCCGGATCTGTCATTGGCACTGGGAGCAGTCAGACTGCTCAATAGCTGAGCGCAGTGAAAGCAAAGGAAGGAGTGTGTGCTGTGCTCTCTGCCTCCCCCTAGAGTGCAGTACCTGGCTCTGTGAGTGAACAACGAAGTACTGCAACTTTGTGTGTGTGTGTGCCCACCTAATTTCAGCTCACTCTGGTCACATGATCCTCTATGTCAGCCAGTGGTGGCTTCAGGGAAGAGGAGAGAGCACTTAACAGCGTGCGTGTGTGTGTACATGTGTGTGTATCTGTGTATGCATGTACATGTGTGTATCTGTACATGTGTTTGCGTGTATGTATGTGTGTGTGTGTACGTGTGTATGTACTTACATGTGTCTGTGTATGTATGTACATGTGCCTGTGTATTTCTGTGTATGTACATGTGTCTGTGTGTATATGCGTGTGTGTATACATGTGTCTGTATGTGTATATGTTTCTGTGTGTGTGTATTTACATGTCTGTGTGTGTACAGGTGTCTCTGTTTGTGTTTGTTGGTGGCGAGTAACTCTTAAGGCCTGGCTAGTAGCTCAGGACTTGACATTTTAAGCCCTGCTCCCTTTCTGCACACTACATGTTTAGTAACATTTCCCAGCAGACTGCCCTCTTTATAACTTTTTCCCCTTTGAGAACCAGTAACTGACACTGTGGGGGGGATGGGGGGATTTACTAAAACTGGAGAGTTCAATGTCTGGTGCAGCTCTGCATTGAAACCAATCAGCTTCCAGTTCACTATTACCAGTGTAGAGCGAGCAGTGCCATTATTTCTGGTCACATGATCCTGTTATGCAAACAAAAAATGTCCATATAATTGAATTTGTCAGCAAGGAGATGTGTAGTCCACCTTGGGGGCAAGCAGGAAAGGGTGGCCACATTCACATACACAAGGGAGCCATGGAGAATGAACATAGCCAACTTAGAACAGAGAAAATCTTTGAGGGCCGATTCACACCATAGAAATGCAATCCAGATGTGTTTCCGTATGTGCGTTTTTGGTGTGTTCCGGTGCTTTTTTGGTTCTGGTTCATTTTTTCCTCCTTTCTTTTTCTTCAATTTAAATATGGACATGTGCATTCCAGTGCATTTTTGGTGCGTTCTGGTGCGTTTACAATTAATTTTACCACATTCCAGTACAGTTCTGTGCAGGAAAAATGCAGCCTGTTCTACTTTTTTTTCTGCAACTGGAACTGCAACTACTGATGTGAACTATGACATTGACAACCATATCACCTACTTCCTGTGCGTTTTGAATGCAGAAAAACAGCACACTGAAATACATGTAGTGGGAACTGGCCCTGAGGCCCTGTTCATACCTGGGCATTTGCTGGCAGAAAGCCACGATTCTGCTCACGATCCCAAAACGCTCCACCAAACTGCACCACGCTTGCTCAGGTGACATTTTCAATGGAACTTAAACACGGTTGCGATTCTGCGCACAGTTGTGCGCATGATAAATCACACTGCAGCCATGGCAAACTGCATTGCATGAAGCTTGTTGCTCAAGAACGAACAAGAACTTCTTTTCAATGCTTTGTGCGATGTGGTTTGCCGTGATTAAAGCGTGATGTATTGTGTGACAAGCACAGCAGAACTGCACAGAAGCGTGCTGTGATTTGTCAGTTTTGCAGAGTGTTTTGGGATCCTGGACAGAATTTTGCCCGCAATCGCAAGCACCCAGGTGTGAATGGGGCATGAGAGATGAAACAGGAAAAGAGAGATAGAAGGAACATTCTAATTATAGTTAAACATTGCAATTTTTTTTTTTAATGTAAGTTTAGTGTCACGTTATCTAGTTGTAGACTTTGGGCGTGCTACAGACGCCCCCCCCCCCCCCCCCAAATAATCATCATTGCACACAGGGAGTGTGTAGCACATCCAGTCTCTCTGCTCTACTTCTGGGACCCCCCTTCCGGTATAACAACTTCTTGCATTGCAATATGCTCAGAAGAAGTCAGCAGCTCTAGCTGTCAAAAAAGCAGTCTGAATCACTATTTCTAAACAACACTTAGATACACTATCAAAATTATTGGGACGCCTGCCTTTACATGAACATGAACTTTAATGGCATCCCAGTCTTAGTCCGTAGGGTTCAATTTTGAGTTGGCCCACCCTTTGCAGCTATAACACCTTCAGCTCTTCTGGGAAGGCTGTCCACAAGGTTTAGGAGTGTCTATGGGAATGTTTGATCATTCTTCCAGAAGCGCATTTGTGAGGTCAGACACTGATGTTGGTTGAGAAGGCCTCGCTCGCAGTCTCTGCTCTAATTCACCTCAAAGGCATTCTATCGGGTTGAAGTCAGCACCATTCTTCTGGCAACTGCCAAACCCAGACATGTCAATTAGAATGCCAGACAGAGAAGAATGATTGGTCAATCCAGAGAACGTGTCTCCACTGCCCTAGGGTCCAGTGGTGACATGCTTTACACCCCTGCATCTGACACTTTGCATTGCAATTAGTGATGTAAGACTTTGATGCAGCTGCTCGGCCATGGAAACCCATTCCATGAAGCTCTCTACTTACTGTTATTGTGCTAATCTGAAGGCCACACAAAGTTTGGAGGTCTTTAGCTATTGACTCTGCAGACAGTTGGCGACTTCTGCACACTGTGCGTTTCAGTATGCGCTGACCCCACTCTGTCATTTTATGTGGCCTACCACTTTGTGGCTGAGTTGCTGTTGTTCCCAGCTACTTCCACTTTGTTATAATACCACTAACAGTTGACCGTGGAATATTTAGTAGCAAGGAAATTTTACAGATGGATTTATTGCACAGGTGACAGCCTATCACGTCACGTTCAATTCACAGAGCTCCTGAGAGTGACCCATTTTTTCACAAATGTTCGTAGAAGCAGTCTGCTTGTCTAAGTGCTTGATTTTATACACCTGTGGCCATGGAGGAGATTGGAACACCTGAATCCAATGATTTGGAGGGGTGTCCCAATACATTTGGCAATATAGTGTATATAAAGATACAATGTAACATATTGTTACGTTTGTATCTTTATATTCATTCATCTACAGATCCACAGAATGAACATAGGTCTACAAATATGCAAGTTAAAGCAACCTGACAAGTAAAAGAGAGGGTTTTGTTTGTTTGTTTGTTTGTTTGTTTCTTTAATAAAAGGTTCCACTGTTTAACCCCTTATTACCCTTAGTTTAATCTAATCAACCCTAATTAACCCCTTAGTCTCCTTCTCTCTTCAACTATTATGTTACAGAATTTAGTTTGTTTCCATTGTATTAACTATGTATACTTTTTTTTTTTTTCTTTGCTTTTTGTTTTGTTTGTTAATATTTTTACACATTTAACATATATTTACAAATCGCAAAATTGAAAAAAAAACAAACACTTTATTTCGTATGTAAATAACTTTGCAAAGCTTTGTAACAGAATCATAATTTTAGTGTAATTTTAAACAGGATAAATTACAGAATAAAATGTGCACATTTCATGTGCAGTAACACATAACACACGTAGCACATTATTTGTAAACTAACACTGCTAGTTTTGTTGCATTTTATTGTTTAGGGATTGCGAGAAAAAAAAATTGTTGCAAGACAATATCATGAAAAGAAAGCCTTGTTTGCTTTAAGATAACATATATTGTTTTTAAGGGACAGAATTCCACCCAAGAGTGGAAACTCCACTTGTTTGCCTCCCCCCCCCCCCCTGCTCCGTTGCCATATTTAGCACCTTTTGGGGGGAAGCAGGTACCTGATTTTGACAGGCACCCGCTCCCACTTCCAGCTCAGTTCGCTGCGGTGAAGTGAGCCGGAAGTTCACCCCCTTCCTTCCTCCCGCAGTCTCCTGGGAACCTTCACAGGTCCTAGATGACTGCCGGACCAATTAGGAGGCACAGCGCGACCCTGACATGCACAGTGGGCACCCGGCTGTTAAGCTGTCACATCCTGTCACCTACAGTTGAGATACCGGTGGTGTGGAGGAGAGAAGGAGAGAAGGGACAGCGTGGGGGAGAACCCTGGGACAGGTAAGTGTGTATTTATTAAAAGTCAGCAGCTACAGTTTTTGTAGCTGCTGACTTTTAATAAACACAAAAATGGCTGGAACTCCGCTTTAAGTAATTTAAAGTTTATTTCTGAATAAATAGGTCCATAACAAAAATGTAAAAACTGCTCAGGTCCATGGGGGGGAGGGGGGTGAAAGGGGAAATGGTTTGTCGAAGGCAGTCTTTCTCAACCAGGGTGCCTTGACGTTTCTTCAGGAGTGCCTCGGCGAAATGCCTAAACATTGCCCAAAAACTGTATGCAAGCCAGCGGATGGGTCAAGCCTGCCTTTTAGTCACACAAAGCCACAGGTTTTCCTTGTGCACCATTACATCCTTCTAGCCGTTGGCATCCCAACAACCAATGACACCATCATTTGATATGGAGGATGTCTATCGCCTGCACGGCATCCTTGTTTGACCAAGTAAATATAAACCATATAAATGCTGCGCTACATTCAAACTTATTTAAGTGAATGTGGAATCCAATAACTCAAATCAAAAATAGTGACAATAATAATGAAAATAAATAATATGTGCTTAATGATAACAAAATTACCAAATAAACCACCCAAACTAATGAAAAAGCACAAACTTAAATCTATACGTATGTGCATGAGAAATACACATACATATATTACATCACACGTGCACAATGTGAAGTGAAATGATGACTAAATAATAAACGCAAACTCAAAGTCCAATAATGAAATGTTGAAGGTGAACAAAACTGTAAACGGTGTTTCCAATAATACTGTAAGGTGACCACAAGTGAAACAAATCGTGCAGATATCTGGGTGTAGATAGAGCTTATGAATCCAACCACCTTCTGGATTAGCCTCTCACCTCATCACTTCGACCCTTGCGGGTCAAAGAGCAGTAATGGATCCCTCTCACAGATCCTCCAGGCACCACAGCACTCCAAAACCACTTTTCAGGATTTAGTATTCCCACTCAGGCTCTTCTCCAAGTATAGTATGTTACCAGGACATAGAAGGTGAATCTCCCCAGGGGAAACACAGATCGCAATAACAATTTCATAGGGAATCTAACCCATGACTTGCTTCCATTGTGAGGATCTTTTAAGAGATCAATAGGAAGGAGTTTCCCAACTCCAAAACTTTTTTTGGAGTTGGGAAAATCCTTCCTATTGATCTGTGAGAGGGATCCATTACTGCTCTTTGACCCGCAAGGGTCGAAGTGATGAGGTGAGAGGCTAATCCAGAAGGTGGTTGGATTCATAAGCTCTATCTACACCCAGATATCTGCACGATTTGTTTCACTTGTGGTCACCTTACAGTATTATTGGAAACACAGTTTACAGTTTTGTTCACCTTCAACATTTCATTATTGGACTTTGAGTTTGCGTTTATTATTTAGTCATCATTTCACTTCACATTGTGCACGTGTGATGTAATATATGTATGTGTATTTCTCATGCACATACGTATAGATTTAAGTTTGTGCTTTTTCATTAGTTTGGGTGGTTTATTTGGTAATTTTGTTATCATTAAGCACATATTATTTATTTTCATTATTATTGTCACTATTTTTGATTTGAGTTATTGGATTCCACATTCACTTAAATAAGTTTGAATGTAGCGCAGCATTTATATGGTTTATATTTACTTGATCACTGGTATATGATTTAATGCTAGCAGCTGTTTGGGGTTCATATATTAATTTAGTTTGTTTTAAACACACATTTGGAGCGCAGGAGGGTCACACCACTAATCCTTGTTTGACCGTCCCCTACCCCTCTCTGTCAGTAATGGGGGCAAATTAGCCGAGTGATGGAGAAAAACTGAGGGAGAAGAGAAACATTGGAATACTATTCTGTATCAGTGTGCAAAAGTGTATTTGGGTCTCTTACATGTGTGGGTGTTGCTGCAATAGGTAAAACTATTAGAATAGTCTTTTTTACATTTTAGAATGAGGTACCTTGAGACTGTCCATAATTTTCAAGAGTGCCTCAAAATTGTTCATTACGTTAAATGGTGCCTTGACTGAAAAAAGGTTGAGAAACACTGGTTTAAGGAAAGATTGCTTCTGTCCCAGCCTACTGTTGCTCTACATCCTCTGGATTTTAGTCTTTCCCCATCTCCTAGCTATTTCTGTCTTTAAGAAAGGTTGAACATTTCATTGAGATGTACAGCATATCTCTTACATCTTCTGATGAAGCAGCTCTATAATCTGGGCAATGCATTGAAAATTATCATCACCCCAATGCAGGAATCATCTCCAATTGACTTGAAAAAACCTTCTTTTTATATATCTGTAAGGATACTTGAGTTTGATCAGTGGGTGTTTGAGAGTATATATGGGGGTATTAAAGTGATATATTGATATACTGCTGTATACAATAGCACGGGCTGCTCTTCTTTTATGTGATTTTAAGATGTATAGCAATAAAAACTGCATATATTTTGACATAATTTATGTTATCTAAATACTAGCTTGGCACCTAAAAAGTCCCATATATAAAGAAGAGTTTTCAATGATATCTTTAGGAAAGGCTGTGCTGTGATGGATAACTCCCCAGTGGTTGCCGCAGATTAATCAGTATATAAACATGGGCTGGACAGATTCCAGAAGAGTGGTAGATAATGGGGCAAACAATTACAGTTACTACGCTGCCTTTTGAGCCTTTTATATTGTTTTCTACAGAATGACATGTACTTTGGCCTCTAACAAATGGCATTGGCTCCTAGATTTGAATTACTGGTTTTGCAATTGTATATTAATTTGTACGGTCCTCACATAAAGCATGTTATTATGTTTTTTTACCTTTCAAAGAATTTCTAATGGCTTGGCAGATATGTACAGTAGATTGCTCAAATGCTCGTTAAATTCAGCTTCAGCTTGTCACTGAAAGGCTTTTAAGAGGGGCAATATTAAGATGGAGGCACAATGAAAGTGTTATAGTACAGTAAAATTCCACTTTAATGGTAGAGCAGAGTGTAATCTCATCTCACTGAGTGGGAGATTGAAATGCTCCATTGCCCTCTTGGGAGTCCTTTATGATTTAATCTGATGCTGGTAGATACAAGGCTTTCAGTGGCTATTGATCAGATGCCTCCTTTAAAAATCCATACTTAATGAAGATTCTTGTTATGTGTCCAACGATCTTGTCTGCGGCTTTTTTTTTTTCTTATTTCAAGTTCCATTTTCTATTTCTTCCTGGGTGAGTGTGTGTGCGTATAGGGGAAGGTTGCACATATGCGGTTGGAGAATGGGATCAAATTTGTTTCCTTTTTTCTGCTTTGTTTGTGCTTGTAAATTTGATAATTGTTATTGAAATTGTTTGCATGCAAAAATTAACCTATATCCTGCTATATTTTATGTCGTGGTATAATTGCATTACATTTTTACCCCTTAAAGTGTAATTGAACCTAAAAAAGGAATAAAAAAAAAAAAACAACAGGTAGGATTTTTATGACAAAATGACAGATCCTATTGGCCTCTTCTATCATAAACCTCTTTCCCTGTCAATCAGTGTTTGTTTTACGCTGAGCCATGCATGAACAGCTCAGTGCACATTTATGACACTGCTCTTTGCCATTATGATATGACTCCTGTGCAGGGGCGGACTGACCATTTGGAAACTCGGGCACTGCCCAAGGGCCCGGGGTCAGTAGGGGGCCCCATTAGATGCCCCTGGTACCTTTTTCATAGGCTTTTTTGAGTTTGGGCAAGGACACAGGGGCCCCATGATCCCCTATTGCCCAGGGGCCCCATGAGTTGTCAGTCCGCCCCTGCTCCTGTGCTCATGTGTAGGAGCAATGTCATCATGGCTCAGCCAATCAAGTGGACAAAAGTTCAGAAGGAAGACCAGGAAAAGATGGCAGCGCA